GGAGGCTAGATGTGGTCTGGTGGGAAGAAGCAGCCTCAGCCTTCTGACAGGAACTCAGCATAAAAACTGCTGACTGGCTACCGGCAGGGTGTGGGGGAAGGGAGCGGAGGCTGCCATCCTAGCAGCCCAGTACTCATTTGTGCGTGTGTGCAGACAAGCTCCTGGCTGGATTTGGAGGCAGACAACGAGGCCTGATCCTTTCTTTTTTTATTTTTTTTTTTGAGACAGAATCTTGCTCTGTCATCCCATTGTACTCAATGACTATTCACAGCTCACACTCCAACCTCAACTCCTGGATCAAGCCATCCTCATGCCTCGGCCTCCCAAATAGCTAGGACTATAGGCTTGTGCCACTACTCCCAGCTAATTTTTCTATTTTTAGTAGAGACAGGGGTCTTGCTCTTGCTCGGGCTGGTCTCGAACTCCTGACCTCAAGGGATCCTCCCGCCTGGGTCTTCCAGAGTGCTAGGATTACAGGTGTGAGCCACCACTCCCGGCTGAGGCCTGATCTTTTCATCGGCCCCTTGAAGGAGCCAGGCCAGAGGTTCCTAGTGAGAAATCACCAGATCTTAACTGAAAGCATCTCTTGCACCCTGGCACTTTGGCCGCATTCAGACACCACTTAAGATCTGCGGGTAACAAATGAGTTGTGTCCAACAATAGGACACTATTAAGATAAGCGGTGATATCTCTTTTATGCAGTCATTAAAAATTATGGTTTTGAGGAATATTTAGAGATGTGGGAAGATTCTCATGATGAGAGCACAGGGACAGAGATATTAAGCCATACCCCCCCAACATGGGGGGGGCACTGAAATGTTACTTGTGCTGTTCTCTTGGGTAGTGGGATTTTTGGCAGACTTCTTTTACTTTTTTGTATATATCAGGGTTTTTTTTTTTGAGGTAAAATTTATTAATCTTAGATTTAGGAAAGTATAGGTATTATATTTTTTAATGGACCACAATTCAATTTGTGGATCCTGGGTCTCCCATAGGGGTTCATGTGTTCCCAGAATACTTGTCAGGGGACAAAGGTCAGGATGTAGGTCCCTTCAAGCCCCCCATCATGCAGCTCTGAGAATAAATTGCTGGGGCAAAGATCTGCAAATCTTTGATTGCAGATTTCTCTGTTTCTGAGGTTACACCAGCAGTTTTGTTGAAAGCTGCACATTTAAAAATATCTGCATCAGGTATATCTGCCCCACCTTCCCCTCTGGATTGGAAGGTTCACGAACAACCTTTCCTCCCTTCCATTCCTCCTCCTGCCTCTCATCTCTAGGGCCAGGCAGCCAGGGGCACTACATTGGGTACCAATGCAGGCAGCTGCAGGCACGTGGCTGGTTCTGAGCTCCCCATAGGGTAGCCTGCCCTGCCCCCTGCCCCCATCCCTGAACCCCTTTCTTCTCCCAGGCATCTGCTTGGTGCCAGCTCCTGTGGTTCCATATTAGGGACACAGAAGAGGACCCAGTACAGTTTGGGGATCCCAAGGGGCTGCCCACCACCTCTCAGCAGCCTGGAGACACTGCAGGTAGAATTGAATGAGCCCCAGCAATGTTGGGCCTGGTGGCCAGGGCCTCTCCCAGGTGGAAGCCACATGGTCGGACGACAAGTTTCTCCCAAAGCAAAGTGCAGTGGGCACAGGCACCCGATGGGCCTGGCTCTCAGAGTGCTGCCTCCAAAGGCTGTTCTGGAGCAATCCATTTTGGGAAACTCATTGCCTGTTGTTTGTCAACAAGCATTCTTGAACACTCACTCTAATGCCAGTCGCTGAGCTGGGGTATTCGTGAATGCATCCTTGTTTAATTTAAACTTTAGTTCATTCTTTCGACAGCCTTGGTGGGAGCTGTCACCTTCCTCACTTGACCGAGGAGGGAACGGGCACTGAGAAAGGCTGGGTGACAGCCTAGCGCTGCCCCTCTGTGAGCAGAGGCCGGGCTGGGTTTTGATCTTGATCTTGATCTTCCTGGCCCTGCACCAACTCACTGCAGCTGCCAGGGTGTGGGCGGAAGAAGACTCCCCGGAGCCGACAGTCCCTGTGTCGCGCTGGGCCAGGCTCTGGGCTTGTTCTCCCGCTGCCTGTCTGGTTGGATTCCGTCATCATTCTGTTCCCAAACACGGGGACACAGGCTCCCAGGAATGCCTTCCGCCCTCCCCCAGGACAGGGGCCATTTTCCCATTTCCTTTCTCAAATCCCCACACTTCTGCTTCTGAAACTGCTGGTTCAAAAGCGAAGAGGAAAAAGGCTGACACCTAAACATGTTGCAGGGAAAGGAAATGCTGAGAATAAATGACTCAGTTTTCCTAACACACCCACAGCCTGGATGTAAGTGCCAAAAATGTGCTGTGTGATCTTGCACCAGTGGCCTCACGCTTTCTGTGCCTTAGTTTCCCTCACTGTCCGATGAGTGCAGGGTTTCTCAGCCTCGGCGTTATTGGTGTTTGCAACAGAGCATTTCTTGCGGGGCAGTGGAGCGGAGGTTGTTTGGTGCATTGGAGGATATCCACGCAGTAGAGGCCAGTAGCACCCCCTTTCCAATCACAACCACCAAAAATGTCTCCAGACATTGGTAAATGTCCCCCAATGGTGCAAAATTGACTCCAATTGAAAACCACTGGGTTAGCGATATCTCCCTTTCACGGTTGTTATGAAAATTCTCCAAAAATCACTTCCTTCCTCTCATCCTTCCTTCTTTCCTTCTATCCCCCTCCCTCCCTCATTGTGCTCGATCCTTCTTCCACGATGAGCAGACCGAACAAGATGATTCCTAAGGTACCTGCTGGTCATGATAGTCAATAATTGTGTGGTTCTTGTTTGGGTTGAGGCACGAGCTCAAGCCTGCCCTTCCAACCTGGAAGGTAGTGGTTCCATGTTACAGACAGCACACAGGGGCAGTCAGGGCTTATGGCCACCACATGTAGATGTGTCCACTCTTGGGGGCAAAGGAGGGGTGACATCATGCCCCGGCTGCATGGACCCAGGTCTGAACTCCTAGGGGCCAGGTCTGCCCATGGGCTCTGTGAGCAAGTGGCTCCTCCAACCTGGGAAGAAGGTAGTGTGGCCCCATGATACAGGTGGGGCATCTGGAGCTGAGAGAAGGCGAGACATAACGTTGGAGCTGAAGGTGCGGCTCAGGACACACAGAGGTTGACACAGTCCCAGATGAGGGGGCTGAGACGAGCCAGCTCTTCCCCAGTTTTCCTTCCCCCTGGGCTAGACTACATTTCCCATCTTCCCTTGCTCTTTGTCGTGACCACGTGATTGGATTCTGGCCAATGGTATGTGGACATAAGGTGAAGCCACAACTTCCGGGTCCATTGAAATCTCCCACAAGACCCTCTACCCACGAGATCATCCACTCCCTCTCTCCTCCATCTGCCCACTGGATGTCAATGCCCAGGGCAACCCTTGAAGCCCGTGCTGAAGATGGCGGAGGCTCTGTGGCACCAGCCTCTGAATCCCTGCATGACCCTGTGGAGCAGAGAGCGCCCCCACCTCGCACAGCTGAGAGGACTTCACACGAGTGAGAAATAAACTTCTGTGTATTAGGCCATTGTAGGCTTGGGGATTGTGCAGGGTAGAGTGGGGGCTACTGGACTGGGGGAATGCTCTGAGCTGCATTTAGATTGGGGCACTAGAACATCTATTTCTCTTCCTGTGGATCCAATGCTGCAAGTCACGGAGGCAGAGTGTTCAGTTGAACTACATGACCATGAGAGGTGGTACCAAGTCACCAAATGCAGACTGGCACGGAGGCCACCCAGAACGGCTGCAAAGCTTGCACTGAGCCAGACTTTCCCCAGGGCTAAGAATAAACAGGAGACACGGAAGTTCTGGCACAAGGTGCCAACTCTGAGCCATACTGGCTACCGGCTGGTGGAAAGATGAGCTTGGCCGGGGGGCAGTCGTTGGGGCCAGGCAAAGGCCTGTGCTCCCCTGGTCCCAGGGCCTGGAGGCTCAGACCATCTGGGAACATCGGTTTCCCCAGGTGCCTGTCTCAGGTAGGAAGAAAGAAGGTTAAAGGCCAGGAAGAGGAGTCAGAAAAGGCTGAAGTGGCTCTTGCAGCCGCGGGAGCAGGGGACATAGGGACATTGAGCCTCCGCACTCTGGCTGGGACTGGGGTGGGAAAAGCCTCTATGACACCCAGGTTCTCTTGAAGAAGACCCAACAGTTTGGTGCCTTCTGGTTCTAGGAGGAGCAGCAAAGCCTGTGGCTCTTGGGAGGAAAACTCAAGGCCATAGTCCTGAAAGCAAAGGCAACATGCAATTGGGAGCAAAGTCCCCTGGGCTGCAGCTTGGGCAGAACTGGGGGAGGTCACTGACTGTCACCCTCCTCAAGCCTCCAAGAAGGGAAGGCTGACATCCAGCCTGTGTCCCCCTGCAAGGGCAGCCTGGCAGTTCACAGCAGGTGTCGGCTGGGGCTGCACAGTGTCAGAGGGGCCACTCTGGTCCCTCTCTCCATCCCTTACCTCACTCCTCTCTGTGGCTGGAGGCAGTGGTAGCTGGCTACCCTGCCTGGGATTGGGTGACTTGGTCCGGTGACAGCAGGGGGAAGCCCATTTGGCCCCTGGCCTGAGCCACACCCTCATGGCTTTAGCTGCCATGAAGCTCACATTTTGGTGCTTGGGCTCCTCTAATTCCTAATCTTAGAGGGGGAAGGAGGCTGGTGAGCGAGCCTTTTTAAACACCATGGGGCGACTTAGGGCCTCCACCTGTGTTCTATGAACACCTGGGGATCTGTCTTCCAGCTCTTCACTGGAGAACAGGCACCTGTGGTCACCGACCAGAAGCCTAAAACCAGCCAGTGGTACTGGGGAGGTGGCCAGTGACCAGGAATAAAGCCAGAAAACCCAGCCTTGACCAGACAAGAGTCTGCCTCCCCCCACCCCCAGCTTCCCTCTTCTCTGGGGGGTCCACAGTGTCCCCAGCCCCAGGGACACTGTTTACCCTAAACGCCCACAAGGACTGGATGGAGTTCATCCCTGCCTTCCCACATCAAGAGAACACTTTAAAAATGTTTTTATTTAATTAAAAAAAAGACAGAACTTACAACCCAAAACCAGTAGTAGGTATAGGAGTCACAGGTGCTTAACTGCGGAACACACGGGGCGGGAGGGGCGGGCAGAGGGACGGGGGCGGGCACAGGCCCCCCACTCCCGGGGGGGCGCGATGTGCCAGGTCTGAGGGGCCGCGGGAGGAGGGGGCGACCCAGAGCCGGGGCCCCTGAGACAGGCCGGCGAGGGGGAAAGGCTGTGAAGGCGTCTGAGGTGGTTTTGCTGCCTGCTCTTCCTCCTCGTCCTCCTCCTCTTCCTCGGTGCCTGGGTGGGCCCTGCGTGCTCTGCCTGGGACTGGGCCGGAGGTAGGACTCAAGGGGACACGGCTCTCTCTACGGAGTGGCGGAGACTTCCGGGGCGGCGGGGGAGGAGCGGGGTGTGGGGGCGAAACCAGACGGCAAGGCTGCCTTGCCCCGGAAGGAACAGGGGACGCGTCTCGGGGCCTCGCCGGGCCAGGGGTCTGCAGGGGGCGCTCCCTTCCCTCAGCCTGGTCACACGGTGTCATGGCGCGGAGGTGGCGGCGGGGACGGGGTTGGCCGACCGGCAGGGGCAGCCCACAGGCTCTGAGGCTTCAGCGTTCACAACTTGCATGCTCGCAGGGCCACACAAAGCCGACCTCGCGGGAGCCGAGGGGGCCCCGGGGCCTCCCGACCCGGCAGTCGGCTGGGGCCGCCACACATGGCGTGTCCTCTCCAGGGGGCGAGGGAGGGTGGGAAGGACGATGACGTCGTTACCAGGCCACAGGGACCCCGGTCTGAACTCCTAGGGGCCGAGTCCGCCCACGGGCTCCGTGAGCAGGTGGCTGAGGTAAGAATTTGCTCGTCACTTCTCAAGTACGACAGCTACTGGGATCACAGACGACCGTCCAAGGTCTGATCGAGAAGTCTCAAAAAGTAAGAAATGATTTATCTTTAGAAAGCATGTTTTATATAAAAGAGGGTAAGTTCCATGTTCCAGAGAGTTTTTCTTCCAAACCTGGACGCATTTCCACGCTCTTTGATTGTTTCTGGAGAGGATGACGACAAAAAAAAAAAAAATAAAAAAATGGTTGGAAAACTGTGAAACACAGAACCCACTTCCTCAGTTCTGAACAAAGTGCTGAGATTTCCCTCTTGGGGGAGGAAGAAAAGCCCAGCTCGGCCCTTTCACCCACACTTCCTCCACTGCGTCCCGTTAGGTGGTGGCAGAATAAATTACAATAATAGGAGGTGCGGGACTTGTCGCTGCTAGGCTTTTTGAGATGAGGACGTGAAAGGAACTCGCTCTCCTGGCGTTGACTTGCGGTAAATGACGATTCATGATCACCCAGGAAATGGATGTTTGTTCTCTGATTTTTCTTTTTTGGTTGCTGTTCACCTAGTCAGGGGTCTGCACCCTCCTCCCCTGGGACCCTCCCCTCCCCCACTCAGGGTACAGGGCTGCTCCTCAGGTCAGTGGGGACGGACACAGCAAGAGGCCACGTGGCCGCCTTTCCTCCGACTCTCAAGTCCAGTCAGGGTGTCTGTCCTGCCCATGCTGAGTGAGGTGGAAGCTTCCAGAAGCAGGTAGGAGAGCCAGCGACAGCCCCCGGCCTTCACCTCAGACTCCCCCGCAGTCCCCGCGGGAAGCGGCCCCAGGACAGCACGGAGGCTGAAGCACCAGTTGGCCGCAGAACCTTCTCTTCAGGACGACCGTTTGCAACCAGCACAGGCCACGGCCAGAGTGCCCGAGACGGGGCAGGACGGGGCGGAGGGGCAAGCTTCGGCGTCCTCATTTCTGGCTCAAAGACACAGGAACTTCAGGTTCAAAAGCAGCTGATGGGAGTCCAGAGCCCCCCTGTGCCCGGCGAAGCCTTCCGGTGGCCCAGCGCCCAGGCAGGGCGGGGAAGCCCCGAACTCCCGTTCTTCTGGCAAAATTTGTTTCCAAGAGGAGATAATGGCTCGATTTTGTTTTCCCGAGTTGGTCAAGGCCAATGCAGCTCCAGGAAGGCTCTTGGGCCTCCTGGGAGATTTCGGAAACCCTGGGGCATCAATCCAATCCCCCCACCCCCTTTTGGGACAAAGGCAGCCTCCAGCTTCTACCGCAGCCCCGAGTCCAGTCTCCCGGCGCGTCCCTCGCTCGGAGCCAGCCCACGACACCTCCTGGAGACCAGGGAGGGCCGCGTCCAGCTCGAGCTCATTGTCCGTCCGTCTTAAGGATCGCATGCCCTCCTGTGTGACACAAAGAGCCGTCCTGGGCAGGCCGGAGCTGCAAGCGGGGTGGGCCTCACACGGGGGTGGTCCGCCGGTTCAGCATGCTGACGTGGAAGCCTTCCTTCAGGTCCTGCTGGAAGAAGTCGTGCACCTGCAGGAAGCTGGCCTCCTGGTCGGGGCTGTAGCTGGCGGCGGTGGTCACCTTCAGGGGCTCCCTGGACAGCGTGTACATGGACAGCTCCCCCATGGGGATGGCCCCGGTGATCTTCAGGCCCACGGGGGACGCATCCCTGGACGGCGAGGCCTCGGTGGACCTGGAGCTGGACCTGGAGCGCCGTCGCCGGTACCTGTAGCTCGGCATCCTGGCGTACGGAGAAGAGGAAGAAGCCTTAAGGAACTCCCGCTTGGTCTTAAACCTCAACTCTTTATTTTTCTCAATGTAAATGTTTACGGCCAGGACGCCCACGGTCTCGGCCACGATAAAGGACAGGGCTCCAAAGTAAAAGGACCAGCCGTAGTTGTAATGGTTCTTTTTGTCTTCGTCTCGCTTGTCGCTTGGGTCGCCTGTGTTGCTGGAAATGTAGACGATGATGCCTATGATGTTACTGAGGCCTGAAAGGGAAACAGGGAGAGGGGCCGGGGAGGGAGAGAGGCAGAGGTTAGACCCAAGCTGGACCGGCAGGGCAGGGACCAGGCAGCCGTTTCCCTGTTCTGCTTGCTGACGTCTCCTCGAAGTCCTTAATTTTGAACAGTACAAAGTCTAAATGAGGCAAATCATACAACACGGACTTGTAACCACCTGGTTCCCCTCCCGAAGGCAGCCACTGTTATCTTCTTTCTTACGTCCTTTCAGGGAGAATCTCTCTCCAGTGCACACACATACCTGTGCTCGTCTGTGCGCAACATTCTTGGGTTTTTCGCTTAACTGTACATCTGTGACATCATTCCACATCGGGACACAAAGAGCTGCCCTGTCTTTCTAACTGTGTGGGGCACCTCCATACAGACGTCTAACCAGGCCTCTGCTGGGGGACGTTCAGGTGGCTCCTGCCCTCTGCTGTGACACTGCCTTGGACGTGCTTGTGTCTGGCGTTGCACACGCACATGAAAACACCCGTGGGGTGCAGTTCCTGAAGTGAAACTGCGGGGTCATGGGGCACGTGCACTGAAAAACCTGAAATACACTTTTATTTGGGGATAATTTCTGATTTGCCCAAAAGTTGCAAAGAAAGTCCAGTGTAATCACGGGACCAGCCATAACTAGGCTCACTCTGTTGGTAACAAAGTGTCAGGTTACGTTGTATGTGTGACAGAGCCAAAAACTGCATGTGTAGCCAAGGCATGGGCAACAGAATAAGCTCTGACCTCTAATGACACCCGGAGCCAGTCAGTGATCCCTCCCCTCGGAACCAAGAAGACTAGAACCTGACCGTCAGAACTCTTCCGGAAGTGAGGGGTCTGCTGCCCAGACCTGGGGTTAGAACCCACGTCAACGTCCCTTACTGTAAATGGTCAGATTGAGGGCCCCTCTCAGACCCAGCCAAGCCGACATTCCTAAACCCTCTCCCTCGCCCTCTAAGCCATACACTTGCCCCTAAACTGGGGGGACAGGTTTGAACCAGCCCCCTGTCTCCTTGCTGGCTGGTCTCGCAACGAAGCCGTCCTTGTCTCCAAAGCCAGCGCCATGGCACTGGCTTCTGGGCACGTCAGGCAGTGCCCATCACTAACACAGCCCGTGGATGTCGCCCTGGTTTCCCTAGTGTTGGCACCTGTGTTACCACGGAGCACTGGCCACAGCGAGGAAGCCGACCCTGCACATCACTACTAACCTGGATTTGACCGGGTGTCCACTAATGTCCTTTTTCTGATGGGTTAAAGGACCCCAGTGTGGGGAGGGGGAGGAGGGGGTCTCCTTTCACTACCACTCGGTGCTCTGGGCTGAGGGAAAGGCAGGAAGGACACAGGACCAGCCAGGAGGGAGGCTCGTGCCTCTTCCCAGGAGACCCCAGCACCCCCCTTCCCAAAACACACACGCCCCACAAATGCACCCCCACAGGTACACACCCACCCCGTCCTTAGACACACACACACGCACACACACACACTCTGCACGTCTATTTATGGCGCTGGGAGGAAATGACGGCTGAAGTGGCGTAGAAGAAAGTGCCCAAGGGCCAGGTCCTCAGCAGAAGGGGCCGGGCACCACCACCACTGGTCTGGCCACGATCGCCACCACTGGCAAGAATGGACTTTTTAGGATGCAGAGACCAGGTGCAGGGATGAGTCTCCTGGGCTGGCGAGTCTGGTGTAAGATAACAAGATGCTCTGAAAGCGAAAACACCGTTGGGACAGTGCAAAGGGCAGAGAATTTGGGAAAGAATCACGAGCTCCGTAACATTTCTTGCACTTAGTTTCTGGAATGAGGCCTCCTATCTCTCCTCTCAGGGACCGTGCTGCGCCTTCCTCTGACCTCCCTGGGGCCGCTGACCCCCAGGAGCTAGGAAAGGGCTCTGCCATCAGGCACCCGGTCCCTTGCCGGACTGGCCGTGAGCCACTAACCGGCTGTGAGACCCACCCCCGGCCTCTCTTCTTCCACGTGTGCAGTGGCAGGCGCGCATTCAGGTGACTCTATCAGGTGGCATGTCACTGTCACCCTGACCTCTGGGGGTTTTCGTTGGTCACACTGTCCAGGGGCAGTGGGCGTGGCTTGGAGGTGCGGCTTCCCTTCGGAGCAGTGAGGACAGCAGGGGTTGCAGGGCTGTCTCTGCCAGGCACGCTGGGCTTCTCGGCTTCCCCTGCGCGGCGGCCACACACGCCCGCCCTGGGCCCTCGCCCTGTCTTTACCTGGCCGACTCCCTCAGGTCTTGGCTTCGCCCTCCCCCAGGATCACGCCCCCCTGGCAGTGGGGACCCGCGTGGCCCCAGCTCCTGCCCCAGCGCTGGCACCGGCTGGGCAGCCCGGGTGGCGGCTCACCTGCAGCCACAAAGAGGATGCCGGCGCTGAGGACGATGTTGTTCTTGCGGCTGTAGATCCTGCCGGCGCCGATGCACAGCCCTCCGAGCAGGAGCAGGATGGTGCTGAGGATGGGGAAGACGCTGGAGGCTCGCACGACGCCTGGGCCCGGAGGGGACAAAGCAGAGAGCGTGGTGAGACCAGCCGCCCGCCCTCCCGCGCACACGTCTCCCAGGAGCCCTGCAGCTCCAGGCCTTTCCCCAGGATCTGAGGTTCCCGGCAGGACCTGGAGACGGACAGTGGGCGGGGGCCGGGGACGTGGGGACGGCTGGGCCAGACACAAACGGTGGGTGACTACAGGTCTGCTGCTTCCCTTCCCGACACCACGTGGCCCAGAGTCCCATGTCACTGACCCTCTCCCCCAGCGTGGGCACCAGCGGGGCCACGATAATAGCCACGAAAACACTGGACTACATGGCACCCCCCGCCACACCTCACAGCCACGAGCTCTTTCACGGACATGGTCTCCGTGAAGCCTCTGGAAGGCTGGGAAGCCATGTCCATGGGAGGTGGCCCTCAGTGGTCTCAGTGGTTGAGGGCACAGGCTTTGGCCATGGGTGGGTCTAGGTGTGGGCCCTGCTCTGTGACATCCTGGCTGTGTCACCTTGGGTGAGTCTCTTCCTGCTCTAAAACTCAGTTTCCCATCTGTGGAATGAGGCCCATCATAGCGTCAATGTCCTGCTGTTGGCTTTGCTTGTATGAGGTGCTGAGTACAGGGCTCTTCCTAAGTGACATTTTATCTTCATCATCATCATCATCATGACAGGTGACAGATGAGGATGTGGAACCTCACAACTTGCCGGAGGTTGTGGGGGAGGTGGCCGGGTGTAATCGGATACTTGTGGACTGTAATATACAACAGAACTACCCTCATGTCCTTGTTCTGCCACTGACTAGCTGACTGGGGACAGCGGACTTTAGTGACCACCTCCACCCTCTCTTTTATAACCTGGGGACAGTAGTAACAATACCTACCTGCAGGGGACTGAACTGTGGCTTCCCCAAAATATGTCCATGTCCTAACCCCCAGACCCGTGAAGGAGACCTTATTTGGATAAAGGGCCTTTGCAGATGTGATTATGTCAAGAGTCTCAAGATGGGCTCGCCCGGGGTGGATCGGGTGGGCCCCAAATCCAATGGCAAGTGTCCTTAGAGGAAGAAGAGACACAGGCAGCAGAGGAGGCCCAGAGGGGAGGAGTCGTGTGAAGACAGAGACAGAGGCTGGAGTGACACTGCCACAAGCCCAGAGAGCCAGCGGCCACCTGAAGCGGAAGAGACAAGGAAAGGTCCTCCCTGGAGCCTCCAGAGGGAAAAGGGTCCCATCAACACCTTGACTTTGGCCTTCTGGCCTCTGCACTGTTGTTTTAAGCCACCCAAGCTGTGGTCACTCCTCGTGGCAGCGCTGGGAGATGAGCCCACCCGCAGAAGGTCACTGCGAGGAAACGCAGTGCACAGCGGGGGCTCTGGCTCCCCATCCTCAGCGTCAGGTGGGGGAAGGTCCGGCAGGGAAGGGGCACGAGGACCAGCCCTGGGCCCAGCTCCCCCCTACCCCCTGCACCTGCTGTTCCCCCGCCCAGTGGCGATCCCGGCTGCCTGGACTCCTGGTGGCCAAAGCAGGGGACAGTGAGCCGGGGAGGACTGGCAGGCGCCACCCTCCTGAGCCAGCTGAGCTGGTCTCAGCCCCTCAGCCCCTGAAGGCAGGATTTGTCCCCTTCTCTGCGAACCCACCCATGTGCGCCTGCTTCACAGAGAGCGGATTGTCTGGGGACGTTAAATGAAGTTCTTCTCTGCGGCACCTCCTCCTCCCCGTCCCTTTGCCTCTGGCAGCAGCGGGCTCTGGGAGGAGGGTTCCTGTGTGCTTCTGAGACATGCCTCTGAGCCGTGCTGGCTAGAAAAGTCAGGATCGGTCCCCTCACCCCGCCACAGTGCCCTCGTTCTGCAGACAGGTCAGAGGGGCCAGAGAGAAGGGAGACCAGTTCCTCAGAGCCATCCATCTGCCCAGGTAAGTCAGGTAAGCACCTGTCCCTTGCCACATGGACTTATTCCTGAGCTCCAGATGTGCAGAGGCCAGCCAGGGGGTGCCATGGACAGTGGTCCAGGTTGGGCACAGAGCAGGTGGCTGAGGGATGAATGAGGCTGAAGTCCAGCCCAGGCCCTGCTGGCCACATCAAACCTTGGTGAGGATCTTTGTCCACTTGGAGACCAGACACTTCCTCCTAACTCACTCTCAGGCACACCGCGGACTCCCAGCAGCCCTGACACCGGCAGTGTGTGGCTTAGCACAGAAATTATCCACCTAACTGGAAATGTGGAACCAGGAAAGGGGCGACAGGCCCAGGCAAGATGAGTGGGACCCCTCTGGCCAGCCAGGCCCGGGGAAGAGATGACAGGCAGGATGTGGGGTGGTGACCTCCTAGAATCCTGGGCTGTGACTCTGCAGGAGTCCTGTGACCAGCAGGAGCATCTCGAGAGCTTGGGGGCCTTCAGGAAGACCTGTGACAAAGAGCGCCAGCCTGGCTTTGCTGGAAGGCTCCAGAACGTGCGGCTGGCAGGAGACCTCCTTCTCAATTATCACAGGCTGGGTGTGAGCAGCACAGCTTTGGACCTGCCCGGGCTGGGGCCACCTGCACAGCTGAGCTGCCCCCAAAACAGGCTCTCCTGTGGGCAGCCCCACCATGGAACCTTCTGTCACCTTCTCTAGAACACCTGTTCTCCCCAGAATGCCAACACCATGAGGGCAGAGCGCTGTTTTGTTTGCTGCTGTGTCCCACGTGTCTAATACAGTGCCCGACACGTCGTGGGCCCGCAGTGACTTGTTAAATGAGTGAATAAATGAATTCTCATGACCCCTCACCCCTTGCACACATCGGCCCCCAGAGATCCCTCCCTCTCCTGTGCTTCTACATATTTTTGGGGTCCGAAGTCTGGACGGACAGAGATCAGAGATGGAATACTAAGAATCCTGGTGGCCTGGGAAACACAGGATGTCCATAGTAGCCATGACCTTGGCCTTTCTCCAAAAATTATTTCCCTCCCCCGACTCCCAGCTCCCAGCTCACAGGCACCTGTATTCCAGAGGTAAAGGCTGATCAGAGACACACGCAGAGCTCGGTTCCTGCAGCCACTGGGTGGAAACGCACCTCCCTCCCAAAAGTCTGCTCTGCCCCGACAGCCCCCAACTCCACCAGTAGCTGGAGGCCACAGGCCGGAAAGCCATCAACCCGTGTCTTCCGTCGGCATCTCTGGACTTGTTAATGAACCGGCTGCTCTCCCCACTGCATGCACTTACGGAGAACATGTCCTTCCCAAATGAGCTTTAATTGCTGTTGTGCTGTCACCTTCATTCTGTTTGGGAAAGTCACTGTGCAGCCCTCCCAGCCTTGCACCTCCTTGAGGACCTGCAGTGTCTCATTCCCTGTCTGTCCCTGCAGACCCTCAGTCCACCCTTCCCTGCCCTGCCCTGGGCCCCGAGAGGCCGGGGGTGTGGCCCGAACCCTCGGGTATCGGTGAGGGTTGGGCAAGGAAGGGCAGATTCTGAGTTAGGGCTGGTTTCCAACAGAGTCGATCCTCAGCTGGACTGAGCACCAAGGCCCACTGTGGATGGGTGTGTAGGCCACGCACTGCACAACCTGAAGGACATCATTCATACCTTCATCCACGCAAGTGACATCCCTAGAGTTGTGCAGTATGCAACGCGCACAACCCTCTGTGCCGGCCCTGTGGGAATCTCATTTGCTGGGTTCAAGGTGGGCCCAAGGTAAGCAGAACCAGAGGACAGGCCAGAGGAAGAAGAGAAGGTAATGGGAGGATGCACATGAGGCAGAGCTCTGGGCAAATTATTTCCAGTTCCAGGCCTGGCCGGAGCAGCCTGACACTGCCCCAGGCTCCATGGGAACCGCACGCTGTTCTGTTTCACCAGATGACTCAGAATCAAAATCCTTTCTCTTAGGAAAAACGATGCACAAGCAGGTGCAGAGTGAACTGTGCTCCCTCCGAGGGCGCTGGTATCGATTCCCCATAAACGAGGCTGGCCTGAGCCCCAGAGGTGCCGCTGGGAGTAGCGCTTTGTGTCTCAGCTAACGTGAAAGGGGAAAATGACCTCGAAACGGGGCTGTTTTTTCCATTTCCAGCCTCCTCCTCCGCAGCAGCTCCCTCCTTCCTCCCAGTGAGGTATTCACAGGACCAGGGATGAGATCTGGATTGAGGGTGTGGGGCTGGGTTTGTCTTTTAGGGTTCAGCATGTGCTGTGACTTCCAGGCTGCAGTCTGGGAGCCCCACCCAGCCACAGGACCCAGGCAGGGTCAGGGGCTCACGAAGGACTTAGGGCCCCTAAGTCCATCAGAGGTTGCCCCTGTACCCTCCTCCGCTCCTGCCTCGGCTGCCCAGCACCCCACCAGGCTGTCTTGGTGTGTGACTTTATCTGATTTTCCAGGGCTGGAGTGCTGGGGAGTGTGCGGGGGAGGGGTGAGCAGGCCCAGCCCTGGCGGGGCAAAGTGCAGGGGGTACCACACCCCTCAGGGATGCCTGTACCTTCAGCCTCACTCCCCAGCCCCAGCCCCAGCCAATCAGCAACTCCGAAGCTAGCCACGCCCAGCAGCCCAAGAGGAGCGAAGCCACGCCCAGCATCCTCTGCTCTCGGTCTCCCCAGGGCATGGGCCCCTCAGCCAAGTGACCCCACCAGGACACCCAGCGTGCCACGTGGTGTTGGACAAAACTCCATTCTTCCGTTCTCGGAACTCGCCGCTTGTGAATGCAAGAGTGACCACGGCCCCTGGGAAAGGCGCCCTCTCCACGCCCACAAGGTCCGTCTTTCCTCCAGCTGCCGACCCACCACCTGTCGCCCCCCCCCCCCCCCCCGCACACAGAAAGGAAGCCGAGGCCTTTGGGCCTTCAGACACTCACGGAGGAGATATTCCGAGCTGTCATGGTCGTAATCATTGTCCTCGGGGAAGTGGTTGATCCGGAAGCAGTGTCCTTTGTAGATCCCTGGAGGGAATGAGAGGGAAAGAGCATCGTAAACCCATCCCTCCTGCGAGGCTGTCCCTCGGGGACAGGGAGGGGAGGAAGGCCGGCTCCAGTGTCCCCAGTCTGGTGGTGGCACTGGAGAGAGACACACAGAGGATGCACACAGGGGCAGATGTTCCCCAGAGGTGACGGTATCACTTGCGGTCCAAGTCTGGACACCCAGGAGAGTAAAGGGTCACTCCCTGAATAACTGCGGGGACAAGGGCCGCTAAGCAGAGCTGCCCTGAGCAAGCAGGACGTGGGACCCCCTACCAAGGGGACTCTCAGCTTCATCGTGAAAAACAACAAGGAATTTGCCGGCTGGGAAGGGGGCGCAGGGCCCTTCTAGGCAGAGCAGTGAGGCCGCAAAGACGAGGGCGGGGCTGGAGTCTGCCTGTCTGAGTCTTTCTCTCTCTAAAACCAAAGTCTCCGTGAATCCCTCCTAAGGCGCACAGCTGGTGCAGAGTCCAGGCCCTCAGCCCAATGTGATTGAAGGAAGACCACATGGAACGTGAGAAACTTCTAGAAGGGCTGAGACCATGTCCTGCTTGGTTTTCTCCTCTCTACTCTGAGAAGGGGCCCTCACAGGGTGGGTGGCAGGACCCCCTGGGTAGTTTAGTAACTGCAGGAGGACAGGCCGGTCCTCCCTTCCAGAATCTTCCATTCAGCACCCCCTGTCCATCCTCTGCTCCCCTGCAGTCTGGGAATGCTCAGCACAGAACTGGACACCAGTGGAAGGGGGCACGGTCACAGGGTGTCACTGTCATGTTCTGTCTGTGCCAGCCAGGCCCCGCATGGCCGGGTCAGCCTCCTGACCTGGGTGGCCCATGCTGGGACTGTTTCCAACTGGGGCCAATTCTTTTTCTGAAGTGGTTGCCAAGCGTCCCCCTGGCCTTAGTCGGTCAGGAGCACAGTCTCGGCAGCGAGGTCTGCGCCAGACGCACGTCCGTCTCTGTGCTTCCAATCGGGAGAAGTCCCCGGTGAGCTGGGAGCAGGTTGCTCTGCCACCTGGTCACCAAGTTGCTGGTGACCAGACGGCTGTCCCTAAACCTCCCCTCCACTGGCCCCCTCAGCTGCTGCCCCCAAAGTACTGGGATGCTCAGTAGCAGCCCTGTTTCCTGAAGCCCACGTGGGTGGGCTGGGCCTGGCCAGGGACAGCCAGGAGACAGAGCAAGGGGCTCAGAGGGGCAGCCTTGAGGGGGACACGCTTCGACAGCACCCTCTGTGCAGCATGAGCAACATGGGTAACCCCTCGGTCTCCCCATCTGCAGGATGGGCATCACCCAGCCCTTATCTCCCAGAGATCTCAGGAGAATCCCACAGGGAACACTTGGAAGTCACTTCAGATGATTATTGGCCCACGGTGGTGGCTTAGGGGAGGTTTGCTGCCATTGGACCCAGAAATCACCCGTCCTCTGCTCTTTCATGAGCAGCTGAACTGGTGGAGGACCACGAGGGTTTGTGAGCAAGAGGAACAGCACCCCTGGGGGAGAGGTGGGGACACAGAGGCCAGCGAGGGCCACCCACACCTCCCTCACTCCTGGTCCCACACCACAGATGTCCACGGACCTGGAATAAGGATTTTCCCAGACAGGAAGGGCTGGGGGTCTCTCCACCACTCCTTCCCTCCCCCACACACTCCTTTTTTTTTTTTTTTTTTAGCTACTTTATGGGTCTCAACAAATTACCAAGTCACATATGCTTGTTGGGACAAGTCAAACATGAAGAGGTTGAAAAAGAAAAAAGTAAATAATCTCTTTTTCAGATTTGCTCTTTAGCGGAAGAACGCTAAGTTTGCTATTAATATGTCTTCCCACATCTGCCTTTGTATGTTCACCTGTCTACATACACACACACACACACACACACACACACACGTATGTGAGGTCCTCGTCTTTAAAAAAAATTACACTTTTCCTGAGATCACTGCAGATTCACATGCGGTTGTAACAAATAATACTGGGAGCATCCAAGCACCCCCTATACCTCGTTTCCCCCAACAGAAACATCTTGCGAAACGACAGTCTAATAGCCCAGCCAGGACACTGACACCGATACACTCAAGCCTGCACGGTCACGTCCCCACCTGGACCCCTCCCGTGGCCCTGTCGCAGCCACGCCCACTTCCCTCCCGCCTCCTTCCCTCCTTGACCCAAGGCAGCGCGAAGACGTTCTCCATGTCGGTAGCTCTGTCATTTCGAGAATGTTCTACAAATGGAATCATACAGCATGTCACCTTTGGGGACTGCTGCTTGCGCCTGGCGTAACCCTCCCGGGATTCATCCAAGCTGTCGTGTGCTTTGGCAGTCTGTTCCGAGTTATAGCTGGGCGGGATCCACAGCACGAGTGCACGGTTGTTTGTTTAATCACTCGCCCCTCGAAGGACACCTGTTGTCAGCAGCTATGGCCAACACGCCAGCAGAGGAGAGCAGCACGAGTTGTCTCTGGCCTCGTGGAGCATGAACGAGATTGTTCTCCGCCCCAAGAGCAAAGATTTTGGGATATTTCCCCTGAAAGGTCAAACACCTTCAGCCGTTGCTTCACTGATGGCTCCGTCCTCTGGGCCTGCTGCCACGCTCGGTGCCTGAAGCACAGCTGCCACCGCCAGCCCAAAGTGTAGGCCACCGCGTCCGACCGGCCCGAGGCACGCGGGCGCCGCCCCTGCCCGTCCTTGGTCCCCTCGCTTCACTTCTGTTGATGGGACCTGGTGTTACCGTGGGCTCGGCCTCCCGGGACTTCCTCTCAAGAGTTACTCACCTCCCCCCCAGTCTGTTCTTGTGGCGTGGGGTGTTTAGCTCTAAGGACGTCACATTTATCCCTGTCAAATTTGATTTTGTTAGCGTTGGCCTAAGGCATTTAATAGGGAGGAAATTAATGGCTGATGTGAGAAGTAAGAGAGAAAACCATTTCCAACCCACTTCACACGTGTTCTCGCTCCACAAACTGGCTGTTCGCTGTGTTATCTATTACGTGATATTTAGGGTGGTTAATTGTTTGGGGGTGGTCGTGCGGCAGGGACACTGAGGCGCTGGGGAGGGGGCGGGGGGCTGTCGTTGGCCTGTGCTCCCAGAGGCGCTGCGGCCATCGCCTTCCTGAGGGTCAGGAAACTACCCGAGTGAGGCCTCGTTAGTCACACGGCTTCGGGCAGGCTGTTCCCTCATCTGTGAGACCCAGGAGTCGGCCCGAGGGAGCCGCCCGCGCCGGGGTTCCAGGACTGCTTTGCGGAGAGGCGGCCCGGGCGTGCGTGCAGCTCACACGCCGCGCGCCGAGTTAGTGTCCGGAAAGAAACAGCCCCAAACGTGCCCGCTGTTTTATTTCTCGGCGACAGGTGAATGAATGATCTTTACATTTTTCTTCTTTACACTCTTCTGTGTTTTCTGAATTTCTTACAATGTCTGAAAATGAACGAGTAAAAGAAACTTAAGAGACTGGATGAGGTGAGGATGAGGTGTCGGGTCTGAAATGCCCACCGAGGCGCTCAGCTGCTGGGCGAGGCGTGAACCGAGGTGGGCGGGTGGGTGGCGCGTTGGCTTCTCCTGGGTGAGCCCCCGAGTCTCCTCTCCCCCCAGCACCTCTGTGAAGGTCATGCCCTGGGGTTAAGCCCCCAAGAATAGTCGGGTGACCAACCCCTGGGACACGGAAGGGGGCCGCCCCAGAAACACCATCCCCGTGTGAGCCCTGGGCTCAGGCTAGCACGTAGGACTTCCAGCGTTACAATCAGGAGAGTTCTGGGGAAACCGGGGCAGGCGGGTCACACTCTTAAGCCGTTTAGGGGGCGCTGGCATCTGACATAAGCCTCCATAATGGGCCACCTCAGAGGCCCGTTGTAATTAAGGGACTCCTGGAGGAAAGACTGTCAGAGGGCGACTTCATAATGGCAGTCGTTCACGTAACCCTGCATCATTTGCATTTCCATAAGCGTCACCTCATTTGATGCTCATAAACATTAACAGCTGCCAGGGTCACCTATGGAGAGTGTCCCCGGTATCTCTCAGCCCACCTTTCACCCCAGCGGCGCGCGGCTGCGGCAGCCACCTCCATGCAGGTGCAACCTGCTGACACCTCAATTCAGCCGCACCAATTATTTCTGGCTTTCTGCCCCCGGCGCTGAGCAGGCTGCCGGCGGGGAGAGCTCTGCGCCTGTGCACGTGCGTCTGGAAGTTCGGGGGATTAACAACCCCCGGGGCCACCTATGAGCCATGGAGGACAGGGCGGGAGCTGGTGGATAAATGTTCCCAAACTCTGTCCCTTGGATGGGCCAATCTGAAATCCATTCCCCACTGCTTCCCAAGGGGTGGGTCCTGGCAGGGCCAAGCCAGGTGATGATCAACTCCACTCAGAACATCCCCTGCACTGGCTTCCCCCTGCCCCATGCCTGTTCCCTAGGTTGGCCACCCCGGATACACCACCTGCACGCAAGCCCCGGGCAGGCTGAGACGACGGCCAAGGTGCTGGGCACGGTCCACGCCTCAGCCCATCCCATCCCTACACCAATGCTCCCTTGAAGATGCAGGGAGGAGGCCTGGGGATAACAAAAGACCCAAAAGTGTCTCTGCAGAACGATCAGACATTCTACACTACGCTGAGGAACAAAAATCTTTTTGGCCCCATTTGACAGAAGAGGGAAAGTGAGGCTCAGGGGCACCTGGTGTGCATGTGGAGTGGCGGTGCCTGAAACCCGCTTCCTGAATCCTTGTCCAGCTCGCCCCTCACTGCCATGATGCTCCTGCTTTTCTAAGAACCCGCAGAGGGGTGGCCCGGCTGGTGGTCCTGCCCGGGACAGAACAGGAAGCGAAAGCAGATGGCAACCAAGAGCGCCGGGTTAGCGTCCGGACGGCTTCCTGACGGTGAAGGGGAGGCAGCGGGGGTCTCCCGCCTTGGGAAGGGGATCGGCTAGGGCTGTCACAGCCAGGGAGAAGGAGGCCCCAGTCGCCAGGCCCCTTTCCGACCTAGGGTGGGATGATCGTGGATATAAAGCAAAA